CCCCAAAACCCCAAAACCCCAAAACCCCAAAACCCCAAAAGGACATTAACCTTAAAATTATAATTAAATTTCGAATAGTGAATGGCAGAAACTAAACCAAAGCCGGATTACAGCCAATTTTCGAATGAAGATTTGATTGTGTTGATCGAAAACAAGGAGAAAATGACTGGGATTTACGAACAAGAGATGATAACCAATCAAGAGAAGGTCAACAACTTGAAGGAGAAAAATAAAGACTTAACTGATTTAAACATGACTCTCTCACACGGTTTCTCGATTTTAGAAACCTTCATTAGTATTATCCTCGGTCAAGAGGCCATGAAAGAGATTAGAGACGAGGATAATAACTATGACCTTGACAAAATGAAGTCTAAATTTTATGATAAACATAGTGATATTCATACTTTACAGGAAAATAAGGAAAATCTCATTGCCAAAATTGAAAAATTAGCCATTGAAGAAGAGAAATTTAGAGGCCTTAAGAAGAGAGTCGAGGAGTGGGGCGGCGAAAACTTTATTGCCTCTTCTGTCAGCAAGATTAAGACTCTCAAGCTGGAGGCTGAGTCCAAGGACGAGAAGATCAAAGAGCTCACACAGAAACTTTCCAACTACAATGAGACTAAAGCAACTGACCTCTTGAATGCCTTGACTAATGAAGATGGTGATGAGAAACAAAAGAATGTCTACTTGAAGGAAATCTCTGAGAAGAACAATGAGATTTTGGAGCTGAAGGAAAAGCTGACACAGACTCTTGAGAGCTTGAGAAACAGCCAAGCCACTAACCCATTTGAGAAAGCTGGTGGAAGCGATGATGAGGATAATAAGGAAAGAGCAGCTAGAACCAGTATTGAGCATAAGGTAGCCTAACTTTTAATCTCTTTAGAATTCTAAGGTTGAAGGCAGGACTAGTGCTCTCAAGAGCACGGGTAGGAAGACACTCTCTATGACTCTTGATGAGGAGTACTATAATGAACTGGAGGAGGAGCTTGAAAAAGAGAAAGAGAAGAACAAGAGTCTCCAGCAAGACCTAGACAAAGCAGTTGCTACATTAGGAGAGTCCAAAGTCAAGTACAGGAAGTTCCTCGTTGGTATTTGCTCCTCTTTTGATCCTTATAGAAAAAGAGAAAGAGATCGAGAAGCTGAGGAAAGGAGAAATCGATACAGCCTCAGTCCATTCAGATGATGACAACACTAGCATGAGTTCTAAGGTTTCTCTGCCACCAAACTATGAGCAAATGATGAATGGGAACATGTTCGGCTTAGTTTCAGACCAGTGCACCCTTGACTACCTCAGAAATATCTTTAGTAAATATCTGGTGTATATGGCAAAGAAGAAGAAAAAGAAGGCTGAGACATGTGAGAATATTCTTCTAAATATCTTATCCGTCCCTGAAGAGCAGATTATTCAGATAAATCAAGCTAGAAAGAAATATTCCTTCTGGGATTGGTTCAAGAACTTTAAAAAGACAGGGAAGTTGACTGAAGATCACAAAAATGATCTTGACATGAACCTCAACTTTACCATGACCGAGGTGCATGAGAGCATGATGAGTCCCTCCATGTACACTGGATCTATCATTCATGGAGATGATCATCTTAATTCTGAAATACTCCAGAGTCAAGATAAGCCCAATAAGAAAGGCAAGGCAGCTAAGAGTAAGCTATTGTAGTAATTTGTAGAAGTTAAGAAGGAAATTGAGGTCAAGCTTAAAGATGACAAAAATGATAAAAATTAAGAAAATTGTGAGTCGAACAAATTCAATTAATTTTTTGTTTGAAGGGGTTTTGGGGTTTTGGGGTTTTGGGGTTTTGGGG